CTTCCCACCCAAAGGTCCAGGCTTTTTGTGGTGGAAGGAAAAGAGTGCCATATTCTAGGCAGCCTGCCCCTGCTCCTTTCCTCCAGTATAGCCACACCTGAGTGCCGGGGAGGGGGGGGGGCTGGCATGGGGGCCCTGCACGCTGGAGGCTCCTGGAAGCAGACTCCCCATCTGCCCTCCCTCGCTCTGGCTTCCCCACCAGCAGTGCGATTGCTGCCTTGCTGCTGCTCTTACCAGTGCTGGAGGCCGCAGGGAATCCTGGGATGTGCAGGTTCCTGGCCACCTAGCACCAAGTGGAAGCGGGGGCCGGTGGGGCTCGGCAGCAGCTGCCAGGCAAGGGCACGTTCTATACCTACAGTGTGGAGGGCCATTGAAGGCGAAGGGTAGACAGCTAACAAGCTAACAGCTGAGAGGGCAGGGCAGGCTGCCTGGGGTAGCCCAGGTGGACCTGGAAAGCCAAGGTCCTCAGCCAGGAGGGCTGGCTGCTGGGCAAAGATCGGGTCAACAAACTACTCCATGCTGTCCACTCCCAGGCCGGATAGGATGCCATTCCTGCCCTAGGCTTTATGGGCTCTTAAAGCCCTTTGCAGAGAGTTCCAGAAACCAGAAAGTGCTTGTTCCCTGTTTGAGGGGGGATTGGGAGGCAGGTGGCCCCTGCGATCATCTCTGTCTGTCTGTCTGTCTGAGCCTGTGGGCCCATCTGGGCATCCTGTTCTACATTCGGGTGTTTGTGTCAAGTCTGTGGACCGCCCACACATCATAATCCCTGGAGGCCCCAGAGCCCATGCAAGGTGTCTCCTCACAGTCCTTGCGGGCCAGGGGCATAGAAGTGACTCCCACCGTGAGCCCTGCTTGGTGTTACGCCTTGTGGCAGGCAGAGCAAGGGATTGAACCTCTTAGAGCCTCAGTTTCCCCTCTGTGTGGAGATGATGACGTACGGGTTCCTCCCTCTAAGCTGCCTTCAGGATTAGACCTGCTGTCCCTGCAGCAGCTGGGTGTCTGGCTGTGGAAGCACAGACCAGCCCCTAAGCAGGTGGCTCTGGAGCCTACCAACTGTGTTCAGATCCACTCTGCGCCTGTGTCTCCTTCTGAGGTGTTGGATGTGATTAGCCACAGGAGAGAGGAGGCATAGAGAGAGAGGAAGAGAGAGGAGATGGAGAGAAGAAGTGCAGAGAAGGAGGTTCGGAGAGACTGGAGGCGTGGGGAGAGGAGGCTCGGGTGCAGCCACTGCAGCGTGATCGCTCAGAATGAGGGAGGGACTGTTTCAGATCATCCCACCAGGACCCGATCCGCACCCCAGCATAGCTTCTCTGTGGAGTGCATTGGAGGGTTCGCGTCCTCCTGGGTGTCAGTGCGGGGGCTGAGGGGTCTCGCTGCCCTCCCTGCTTCTCCCATGGTCCAGGTTCTTTTGGACCCCGAGCAGAGATGGGGACAGCGGTGTCCCGTGCTGCATTCTGCAGAGGAGGCCTGTGATGGGAAGTCAAGTGACCAGTGACCTGACTTAAAGACACGTGACAGGATTCACGGAACAGAGATCCTCAGCCTTGGGCGTCAACCTTTAGAAGCGCGTCTTACTTTACAGGGATGCTCAGCCGTGCCGCATGGCAGCTGGGACTGAGGCGGTGGGCGCTGCTGTGTCACTGAGCCGGATCTTCAGCTCAAACCACGGCAAAACCGAATTGCTAAGACTGGGCTGAGCAGATCACACATTCGCTGATTTCTGCGTCATCTCTGCGGGTCCACACATAAACCCTGGGGATGGCGGTGTCATGGTCCAATCCATGTCACAGGGGAGGAAACTGAGTCTGGAATCACTGAGGCCTGTGGTCATTGGGCAGATAAATAACAGAACTGTGCCTGGCTTCAGTTCATCACATTCTAAACCCTGTGCCCTTGACTTGTTCCTCCCCTGCAGAGGGGGCCATGATAGGGGACCCTTGGTAGTGGCTAAGTCAGGCCCGGGCACCGATGGTGTGGCTGGTGCTCAGAGTCAGACACACAGGCCACTGGCTCTGCCGTCCACATCAGCACCGAGGGTTCCACGTGGCTGAGTGTTAGTCAGCTTTCTGTCATTGTCACTAAACACCCGAGAGAACTTACAAAGAGAAAACATCTGCTGGCTCTCAGTGTGGGAGGCGCCTGTCCGTGATCACGTGGCCCAGTTGCTCTGGGTCATGTGATCTCTGTGCCCAGTGGGAGAGCGAAGATGAAGAAGTTTGGCACATGGACTGGATGTAGAGAAATCCGACCCCTCGTAGAGCCACAGAAGCAGTGGGAGGGAAGGATGGCCACGTCACTGGGGGCCGTTCCCAGCTGTGAGGCAGCGTCATGTAAGACCGAGCAGTTCCCCTGCGGCGTGTGCACCTGAGACGTGAAAACACACATCTACACCGGGTCTGTGTGCAGTTCACCCCAGCAGCGGCATCATTCACAGTGGCAGAAATACACTCAAAATGCCCACCACCTGAAAAGCAGATAGACAAAAAACATAGCCTGTCTCTACAGTGGCATATTACTCATCCAGGAAAAAAGGGAGGAAGGGCGGATGCATGTTGTCATGCAGATGAGCCTTGAAAACATTAGTCTGAGTGAAGGAAGCCAGTCTACAAAAGGCCTCTTTCCAATTCCACTATGTGATGCCCAGAATAGGAAGTCTGAAGAGTCACGAAGAGATGGTGCACTCCTGTAGTCCCAGCTACTCCGGAGGAGAGGTTAGGAGAATCCCAGTGGAGGCAAATGCAGGAAGAAGTTCCAGACTCTGCCTGAAAAAAACAACCTAAACGCAAGAGCACTGGGGACGTGGCTCAAGTGCCAGAACACCTGCAAACACCAAAAATAAAGTGTCACCAAAAATAAAGGAGTAGGGTAGGGGTTGCCCGAGGACCTGCAGGAATAGGGGTGGGTGTTAAGGGGGGGTTGTTTGGAGGTGAATGGCACCGTTTGACAGGGGGAAATCTCATGACAGGCAAGTCATTGCTCATTAAAGCGGTGTGAAAAAGGAAACAGTCCTCCAAAGGTGGGGCTGCGCATTGGGGACATCACACGTCAGAGCAAGCAGGACCTGGGTTTTTACATAGTGAGAAATGGAAATCAAGTTTTCTACACAGCCTTCCCTCCTCACTGTTTCTGGGAACCATTAAAGGCTGTCCCTTGGCTGACCCTCCAGGAGGAACGGGGTGAGCGCCCAGCTCTCTCCAGACGCAAGGCTGCGCTCGGAGCCTGGTCCTGGCCGGCCGGCCTGGCAAGCAATGCCTGCGGCCCGGAGCAGCTGCTTGCTCTGGGGTTTGGTGCTTGAGCCCTTCAGTCCATGCCCACCTCCGTTTTACAGATGTGGACACTGAAGCCAAAGCCCCGATTTCCTCCTGGGTTGGCGGTGGGTTCCCGACCCTCCCAGGCCTTCTCGCTGTACCACGGGGAAGGTCGCAGTGAGCAGTATCTGCCCACGTGGGAAATGGTGGGTGGGGGGCAGCTTAAAGCACTGAGGAAGTGCCCAGACTGTGGAGGCCGCTGGAGGGGGCACGGGGCTCTGGGGCACAAGGGTCTGGGGGTGTGGGGAGTCCTCCCGCTTCACTTCCCACGCACCTGATCTACCCGCTGGGCTGTCCAGTGGGAGCGGGTCCATCTGTGGTCTGCCCTCGGTCCTCACTCATGCTCGGAGGACGGGGGCCAGGGCCGAGGTGTCTCGGGGAGGAGCTGCCTTTTCCCTGAATGAGTGCTTGGCCCCTTTGGCGGGGCTGGGCTTCCAGGCAGGCTTGGAGCGCAGGAACTTAGTGCTCAGAGCTGGGCACAGTTACAAAGCGTCGTCCCCCACATGGTGTCTTAGGACTTCGTGGGTTGTTTGAGGTCACGGCCCCCAGCAGCCCTGATTTCTGCCCCCTTTGGAGCACAGGGTACGGGAAAGGCAGGCTGGAGAGTGAGCACTCGGCCCTCCCGTGGGCTCCCCCAGGCTGACCAGAAAGGACCCGCTCCGTCCAGGCAGTGACCCCCTCCACCACTGTCCCAGCTGCCCCCCCTCACTTGGTAGAGAAGAAACAGAGAGAGGGTGTGTGACTTCCCTCTCTCTGAGGCCAGCTCTAAGCCTCTTGGTCACGAGGCTCAGAGCCGAGCTGCCTGGCCCCAGGCCTCTTCCCCAGCACGTGACTCCCCGGGTGAGCGCCTGCAGGGCTGGGGTCACGTGACCCTGTAGTGACCACATGTCCAGGGTATGTTCTGGAAAGCAGCAGGTATAAAGGAAATGTCAGGGGCTCTAGACATGGCCCTGGACCACGGTGATATCCACGGGAGAGCAGATGAGCTGCCGTGGTGGCGCACGAGGTGGCCTGCGCTTGCACCTCCTTGTGGGCTGGCCTGGTCAACTCACCCAGCAGTGCCCTGCCGTCCACTCTCCTCCTCCCCTGTGCCCCCGCCAGCCTTCCGCACGGAGCTCGGTCATCCTCATCTCCCCCATGCCAGCCCCACGCAGTAGGCACTCATCAGGCCTTTCTGAATCCATGAGGGGACGGCGGGAGGGAGGGAAGGAGGGAGGGCCAGCAGGTGCTGTGACCCCACCACCCGTGCCCCGGCAGGGCAGGGGGCGTGGACGCCGTGTGGTCTAGGTGGAAAGGCCACCCTGACGTGTGACTTGGCCGGGCTGGGGCTGGGACGCACAGCCCTGGCTTTGTCCAGACCATGCTGTGTCCGTGATCCAGGCCTCTGGGCCTCTGAGGGCCGACGCTGCTATCAGACCAGACCCGGTCAGGCCCTGAGCTGGGGGTGGGGGGGTTGAATGTCTGGTACCCTCGAGGTGACTCTGGGCCTTTACCCGCCGTCTCCGCGTGCGTCTTTGGTAGTGTGTAGCAAGGTATCGGGGCTGCAGTGAGCCTGGCACAGTGGGAGCCCCGCGCGGAGGCCAGTGTGGCCGGGTGGTCCTCACACTTGCTAAGAGCTCGTGGCATGGCCGGGTCACCTCGCTTCATCCCTGTAAGTCAGCGGTTCTAACCTCTGTCCCCCTCTCTGCCCAGTGCCTACACGGAGCCCTACAAGGTCTGTCCCATCTCCGTGTCCCCCAGAGACGACGTCCCATCGGATGAGGAGCAGGGGAGCTCAGAAGAGGAGGACAGTGCCCCAAGAGACTCCAGCCTTGCGCCCAAGGTAGGCAGCCCAGGGGAGACCAGGCATGTGAGGGTGAGGGAGGAGGAGGTGGAGGGAGCTGGCGGTGCCAGGGCCCTGGTCCCATCCAAACACCGGATCTTAGGGCAGCAGGTGGGCAGCCCTAAGAAGCACCAGCGCCATGGCCCTGCCCGGGATGGGAGGCAGGCTGGCTGCTTCCACGGACGCCCTCAGACACGGGAGCGGGGGGCTCTCCAGGGCCTTTGGGGGGAGTGCCTACAGCTGTGTGGTCTGAGTCAGGCTAGACCTGGTATGCGCTGACCAGGTGCTTTCACTCCCCTTTGCTTGTTTTTGTTTTTTGTTTTTATTGAGCTTGATTACATAAATTGCACAAAATTCACGGTACTGTGGGAGAGTGATACTCAGTCACAGCCGCGGTGAACCTTCACAAGGCAAATTGTCATTATGGTCTAGAAGGCTTATGGGCTCTACAAACGTGGACCCTACAGCTATTTCTTGCCGCGGACCGGGTTCTGTCGGGACGACGGAGGACACCTAAGGGAGGAACTTGGAATAGGATGGGGAGATGGCAAACAGACAACTCACACACATTAGGAGTGGATGCTGAGTGCGATTTAATGCAGAGGATAGCAAACTTTTATAGCAAAAGTCTCCATGAGAAAGGGCAAAAGGTTACACAATCTTGCTGCAGGGCTTCTTTCTTGGGTGGTCACCAGCTGGGCACCTGATAGGCATTTGTCTCCAGCTTATCTGTAAGGAATACAATGGGTTTGGGTTTCAATGTTTGTCACCAATTAACCATTACCTATCTTTATAGAGGCCTTAACTTTCCCATATGATCTTTCTTGTTTTTTCTTTAATAGTAAACCTCAAGGAGACCTAGATCTAGCAAGTCTCTTAGTAAATAGCAGGAAATTCTTTCTCCTAAATAGTTATCTTAGTAATTGCCATCCATTCTTTCTGCTCTAGCTGAGCCTACTGCTTCTTGTAAGTCCCTTACAAATAATTCCTTCTGCTAAAGTGACTTTGTGAAACCCCCAATACTTTTATATTTACTTATAACTTGTCTCCTAGCCTCCATAAGAGGGGTTTCAGGGTAGCACTTAACTCTGGTGAGTTCGTCATATTTTTAAGACACTCGTCAGATATTGGAGTCGTCAACACTCTTAAGAAAGAGCTTTGAATAAGGGAACGTTGACAATGAGCAAATACAAAGAGCAGTAGAAGCAGTAAAAGATTAATAGGCACTCTTATACAGTGAAGAAAGGCAGAAACACATCTTTCCCAGGGGTTTGCCAGCCTTTCCAGGAGTAGGCCTCTTTGAAGCCCTATTCTCCGAGGTAGACTTCGATGAAGTCCCATTCTCAGAGATAGGTCTCTGTGAAGCCCCATTCTCAGGTCTGAAAGCAGGTTTCCCATGCTAAGCAGACTCTACTGGAGTCAGCGTGGCAATTTCTTGCACATCGGGTGGAATGTACGTTTCTTTCCTCTTGCTTAGTGTGAGCTGTTCCCCGTTCCCTCCCTCCCTCCCATCGCTGCCCTGAGCTGCTTAGTTCACTGTCACCAATGTCCAGTGCAGCTGATGGCCCCTCCGCTGTATTGTTTCCGTTTCCCTCTGATTCTGAGCCCTCCTCCTAGCTTCCCTCGGATGTACACACACACACACACACACACACACACACATATATACCATATGTGAGACCAAGGCCGTGGGGTCAGCTAGAAACGATAGGACAAATGAAGAGGAGGTCCTTTGTTTCTTGAGTCCCGTTTACTTTGTCATATCTCCTCACATGCCTTTGCTTTTGAGATGAGGTCTTGCTAACTTCACCCTCAAACTGAAGACCCCCCTGCCTCTGCATCTGGAGTAGCTGGGATTACTGACGTGTGCTGCAGTTTTTATGGCTGCATGTTATTCCTTGAGCAGTGTTATTGGTTATCTGGCCATCCTGACAGAGGGGCATGTACTGTGTGTCTGATTCGTTTGCTGTGCTGTTCACCAGCAGATGGCGGTAAGCGCATTCGTGTGCAGGAGGGCTGTCCAAAACCACCGACCCACCCAGAGCCCTTCAGGGCAGGTGTCCTGCTGCTGCCCAGGAGGCCGTCAGCAGCACGCTGCTGGCTAGCTCCTCATACCAGGCAGCGAAAGGCAGTGTGGTTCCCGAGTGAGGGGCCTCCCACCCCACCAGCCCCTCGGGGAGGAGGCTTGTTCATTCCCAGCCTTCCATCCTCCCTGGGTTGAAGAGCTTCATTTCTCCAAAAGGCAAAGGCCTAGCTACATACCAGTAGTTCACACCTGTAATCCCAGCTACCCAGGACTCAGAGATCCTGACCGAGGTTCAAGGGGATCCTGGGTAGTAAAGTTTGACAGACTCCACCCCCAAAATAACCAGCCAAAAAGCAGTGGTAGAGGCTTGGCTTAAATGGTACAGCACCTGCCACGAAAGCTCAAGGCTTCTTAGGGAAGGAACACACAGGCACAGAGCCTATGTACCTCAGATCATATAAAATAATATTTATCGAAATGGACTCCAGGAAATGGAAGCAGGAGGTGTTTTTTGTCTCTGTTGTTTTTCATTTCTTTTTGTCTTTTGTTTTTTCCGTCTTTGGGACGGCGAGGGTAGAGCACAGAAATGGAGGGGCGAAGGGTGAGCAGGGCAGCGGTGGTGCTCTCTGACGCCGCGCTGGAAATGCACTACCCAGCGTGTGGGTGGGGAGGGGAGGGGAACACTGGCGGGGGGAGCGAGGAAAGGGGTGGCACTGTCCCGCGGGCTCTGCGGCACTGGCTGAGCTCAAGCCGCAGTCCTTGAATCTGCAGCCACGCTTGGCCCCACGTTGGGGATCTTCCCGAGCCCTGTCCAGGGTTCGGCGTCACTGACTGCTCCGTGCTGCGCACACCCGGCATTCGCTGCTGTGGAGGGAGCTGGGACCTTGCCCAAGCCCACGCCTCTCCTGTCCCATCTACGCCAGTTCCTTGGTGTTGCCTCTCCGTGGCTGCTGGTCCTCCCTTTTTCTCGAAGGGCGTGGATTTAAGGCGTGCTGACTGCTCGCCCACTGTGGTCTGCCCTCCCAGGGGCTGCGGGACCCCCCCCCCCATGAGGGGCCAGGCCGGGCAGGAACCCCATGCAGCCAAGGTGGAGTTGGCAGTAACCGTACACGACAGCTCAGCTCCCGGGTCTCACAGAGGTTGAGAGAGCCTTTTCATTTCCTGATGTATTTATTCATGATGGTCAGTTACACCTAACCGTAATCACCTTCCCGGTAACCTTGACCACATTTCCAGAGCACAGCTCAGAGGCAGCGGGCGCGTTGCCGGTGTGACGTCATCACCAGCTGTCTCCGGAGCTCCCGCCACCGCCCCAGCCCCGCGCCCCCCAAGCCCCTTGCTCTGTCTGCTTCCATGAGTTGGGCTAGCCTGAGCCCCCGGCACACGAGTGGAATCGGTGCTGTGTCCTGTTTGGGACGGGCTGACTTCGCAGGGCAGCCTGGCACATCCGTGTGGGCTGGAGGGCTCTGCTCTGGAATCCCTGGTCTGTCCCGTGGCTGGACCATGTTTCCTTTTCTTTTTCAATTGTGCCAGTCCTGGAACTTGAACTCAGGACCTGCGTGCTGTCCCTGAGCTTTTTAAATCAAGGTTGGTGCTCTACCATTGGAGCCACAGCTCCACTTTTGAGATTGTTTTGGGGGGGAGGGGAGGCTTTAATTGGAGATAAAATCCCACAGACGTTTCCTGCCCAGGCTGGCTTCAAACCTCGATCCTCAGATCTCAGCCTCTTGAGTAGTCAGGATGACAGGTGTGAGTCACCAGCGGTGGTCACCAGCTTAGACCGCTTTGGGTTTTTTAGCAGCTGCTTTGGGTTTTTTTGTTGATGTGGTAACAGCTGTGGCCCTGGGCGCGCAGGGGTCTGCGCTCAGATCTGTACGTCCACACAGGCGGAGGGGGTCTGGATCTTTACTACTCCTGGTTTTCCGTTTTTGAGACCTGCCACACAGTTTCCACAGCAGCCGTGTGTTCCTTGTTACAGGCAGAAGGGTTCCGCTGCCCTCCCTGCTCCCGATTTCCCGAGGCCTGAGCCCCCGGCCCGGCCTCACGTTCGGTGCCCTTGGCTTGGGCAGCACTGGCCGCATGCCGATGGCATTCCCGCAGCAGCCGTGCCAGCTCACCCCACACTCCCCTGACGCCCCACAGACACCGAAACTCAGCCCACGACGAACTGTGAGACCCTCTTGTGTTTGCCCTGCTGGACATTGGCACCAGATTTGAGTCCCTGGTGTTTTGTGTTCTTAAGGCTATATCTTAAACACAGACCAAATACAACTCAGCTGCTACCTCGGTCCTAAGCCAGGAATTGCGAAGGATATAAAAACAAGCCAACCCCAGGGCCTTTTGCACTTGCCATTTCTTCCACCGAAGCATTCCTTTGCCCCCGTGTGTCTGGCTGTTAAACGCTGCTTCGTCGGGGAGCCCTTCCCGGCTCTGCGATCTATGGAAGCATTCCTGCTCATTTCCTCCTCCTGAGATTTAGTCTTTCTGTTTCTGCCCGCTTGCATACCGCTTGCCTTCCCCAGAAGGGCAGGCGCCTGGGGTCCTCTTCACAGCTGTGTCCCTGCTGCCCCGCACATAAAAAAGCATTCCATCCATAGCTCCAAGTAAACTAATAAACAACGGAATGCATTAGACTCACCCTGGCTCTGGAGGCAGGAACGCGGGCACCAGCGCCTGACAGTTTAATGAAATGGAAATGCGGGCCTTGCTCCCGTGAGCCGCTCGGCCTGTGCGCTGCGGCGGCAGCCACTCAGCCCTGCATCTTTATTGCCAGGCGCATTGCCCCAGCTGCCCAGGCACCCCACAGGGCAGCTGCAAGGCTGCTGGGTTCTGTGCGGGACCTTGGTAGTTTGAGGTTCTGGAAGGGCCGTGTGTGTGTGTGTGTGTGTGTGCGCGCGCGTGTGCGTGCGTGCACGTGCGCCTTGAAGTGGCAAAAGAGGGGAAGAAGAACTGGGGTTGCTGCTTCCTCCTCCCCAAGGCAGAAGAGAAAGACTACGTGATCCCTGAACCTACTGGGGCCCCTCCGGAGGATGGGCGGGGGGCCGGGGGTCCCTGGCTACTGCCTCATGCCATACTCTGCAGCCTTGCCTGGTCCATTCACATCCCATGCCAACTGGGTGGCAGCTTCCAGCACCAGGGAGCTCAGGATGCTTGGTACGGGGCCCTGCTTCCCTCGGAGAAACAGTGCGGGACCCAGAGCCATCCGTCCCCAGGGCTCCTATGTCGCAAAGTAGACACGAACATCTATCTTTACCTGGTCCCGGGCACATGCCTGGAATCCTAGCTAGCTATCCAGAAGGCTGAGGATGGGGAGATCGCAGTTGGAGGTCAGCCTGGGTAGAAAAGTCCCAAGACTCCATCCCAGGGGCGGGAAGCTAGGCGTGGTGGTGTATGGGTGTCACCACACCACAGTGGAGCCAAGAGCAGGTAGATCAAGCATGTTTCTGGGCCAGAATAACTCCCGCAAAGCAGGGCTGAGGTGCGACCCAGTGGTAGAGTGCCTAGCGAGCATGAGGCCCTGAGTTCAAGCCCCATTAGTACCCCCCCAAAAAAAACAGTCTATTTTAACCCCCTTAAAGATAATAAAACCCTCTACATTTTAGCATGAATGTCAGTGTTTTCTCTGGCAGTAGTGAGGATTGGGTTCATGGTCTCATGCCTGCTAGGCAGGTGCCTCTACCATTTGAGCCACACTTCCAGTCCAGTTTTGCATTTATTGGTTCTTTTCAAGTTAGGGTCTCACTCTGTGCCCAGGCTGGCCTGGGCTGCCATCTTCCTCGGGTAGCTGGGGACCACAGGCCCAGCCACTGTGCCACCCCCAAAGCTGGGTAACAAGTACAGGCTAGCCTTTGGTTGAGATGGGGGGAGAGGGTTTAAGACCCGCTTTATTCCTGGGCTGGCCGTGAACCATGAGTCCTTGATCACTGCCTCCCCAGGAGTTAGGATTACAGGCTAGAGTCACCACACCAGGCTGAATAGCAACTTTTTCTTATGGAGAAACCATAAACCAAGCGAAGCCAAACACGACCGGAAGAGTGGGCCTGGCCTATGGTTTCGGTGAATGTGGTTATGTCTGGGGCTGTGGTTAGTGTCCCCCTCCCCCCCTCCCCGCGCCCCCTGGCTGAGCTTGCCGGACAGCGTGTGCTGGTCACCGCTGGGGAAGAGGGGCCTTCCTGAATCTCAAAGGTCTTTGGACCACAGTGGCAGCCATTTGCAGGTGGGAAACCAGGGTGCAGAGACAGGGCACAGGGCCGGGCCATCTACCTCTGACCCCTGGGAGGAAGGACCGTCCCCTCCAACCTTCCCTGTGCTGGGCCAGCTGCTTCATCTGCAGCTCGGGGAGGAAGCGCCGGACTGAGCCCCTCGGGACAGCTTTGGGCAGGGGTGGCACAGCCCGAGGTCCACAGCTCCGGCCACGCATGGTCTGAGAAATGCGACACTGAACACCGCCCCCCCCCATGCTCCTCAGAGCAGCCCTGTTCCCAGAAGCCCATGTCAACCTCAGCGGGTGTTCATTTCCTGCTTAAACAAACAGCTCCATTAAATGGCCCAGTTGGGCGCCGCCCAGAAGCGGCTTCTGTGCAGCCTTGCGCACCCAGCCTGCCAGCCGCCCTCCGTGGCTGTCTGGCGAGGACTCATCCATCATCCCCAGACTTGCTGGAGCAGGCCTGCCCCTGCGTCCTTCCCCGAGTCTGCCCCCACTGGAGGGAGGGACGTGCGGAGCGGGCGGTGCCAGTGCTTGTTGATTAGAACAATGACGTAAATGTGCGTCATTCTACTCTCTGCTCAGGGGTGGGAGGCGCGCTCCGCTCCTGGATGAAGCCACTGAGGCTCAGTTTACACTGTGGCTGGGCCAGGGTGGACAGGGACCACAGTGCTCCTGATCCCAAGGGAGCACTTGCCACTGCTCTGAGCCCAGAGAGAACAGCCCCGCCCCCACACCTGAGGACAGCCGTCCCAGGGGATAGCACCACCCCAGCACCCCGGGACCCCAGCACCCCGGGACCCCAGCACCCCGGGTACCTTTTGTTCATCACACACGGTCCCACGTTCTTTGCACTTCTTATTTTTGTTTCCGTTTTATGTTGACACAGGGTCTTTCTGAATATCCCAGACCGCCCTCAAACCCTTGAGCCTCTGCCTCTGCCTCCTACGTAGCTAGGACTATAGATGGGTGACACCGGCTCAATATGTCCTGTTTTGTGGTGCTGGGAAGTGACCTCTGGCCTTGCTAGACAGGCGCTCTGCTAGTCAGGCCCCCTCAGCCTTCATGTATGTTTTGGACGTGAGATGGTGTTGGAATCCTGGCTACCATGCCAACCATCACGGGATGGGTGGGAGATGGGAACTGAGCTGAGGGAACTGGGTACAAAAGCCAGATATCAGGGGTGACAGACACCGTGGTACACAGCCGCAGACCGCCTGGGCCCGCGGGCCTGTGGGCCGGCGTGCACCATCACATGGCTGTGCATGGGTGGGTATCGAGCACAGCACACACCTTGGGTGGCGGCCTGCTGGGGCCTCTCTTTTGGGGTGCTCGTGGCTACCTGGCCTGCTGACGTCCCCGCTGTCTCTGCAGGTGGAGGGACAGTCCAGGGCCCTTGTCATCGCGCAGGAGCTGCTGTCTTCTGAGAAAGCGTGAGTGCCGGAGCCGCCGCCCGCCGCCTTGAACTCGTAAATAAAAGCTCCCCCTCCCGGTTTTCCTGGATGAGTTAACGCAGCTCACCCCTTTCCCTCTGCAGATACGTGCAGATGCTGCAGCACTTAGGCCTGGTGAGTTTATCACTTTAATTGTCCCAAACTCAATGCTCGTTTATAAGGCTGGGATGCGGGAGGCAGTCAGCGAGCACAGGCAGTTTCCATTAATGGCTCCGGCCCGCGGCGCCCGCCCGCTTTTCAGTCTCCTGATGGATGCGGATGTGCCTGGGATGGACACCTTCTGGTGGGGGGGGGGGGGTGCACATGTGTGTGTGTCTGTGTGTCTGTGTGTGTTCATGGTTCCCTCTTGTTGAGGACAGGAGATGGATGGAGTGTTGCAGACAAAGCTGTGTGATGGAACCCGGGGCCTGGGGCCTGCTGGGCAAGCCTTGTGTCCCCCAAGCTCCCCCAGACCCTGTGTTGCCTGGGACGTGACAGCAGACTGCAGCAGGTCAGGGAACCGGGGCCTTCTTGGTCCCCAGCACTGAGCGGGAGCCGAGGGAATCCCCTGGATAAAGGGCCCTGCCAGCACAGTACCCACAAAACGGCTGCCGTCTCCTCGTGGGTTCAGCTCTGTTCTGTTCAGCTACATTTTTTAGATTTTTTTTATTTATTTTTGTTTATGTGACACCGAGGATTAGAACCCAGGGCCTGCCTCAGGCATGCTAGGCAAGCACTCTACCACTAGGTCACATTCCTAGCCCTCCATTTTTTTAAAACTCTTGCATGAGAACTGGGCACGGCGGCTCACACCTGTAATCCCAGCTGCTTGGGAAGCAGCAATCTGCAGGATCATGGGTGCAAAAACCTAGCAAGTCTCTAGCTCAGCTCATCACCCAGGCATTAGTGGGATAAACATGTCAGCTACTTGGGACATAAATAAGAGGATAATGGTCCCAGGCTAGCTTGGCAAAAATGAGAGCCTATCTGAAAAAATAATGCAAAACCTTTTAAAAAGAGCTACTGGCAGCCGGGCACTGGTGACTCCTGTCTGTAATCCTAGCTACTCAGGAGTCTGAGATCTGATGATTGAAGTTCAAAGCCAGCCCAGTCAGGAAAGTCCGTGAGACTCTTATCTCCAATTAACTACCAGAAAACTGGAAGTGGAGCTGTAGCTGAAACTGGTAGAGTGCTAGCCTTGAGTAAAAGAGCTCAGGGACAGCCCCTAGGCCTTGAGTTCAAGCCCCATGACTGACAAAAGAAAATCTCTAGCTGGAGGCAAAATGCCTGGCTAGCAAATGCAAAGCCCTGAGTTCCAGACCCCAGTAACACTGAAATGGGGAGAAAACGGAGTGGAGACTGGAAAGAGAGTGAGGAGCTATCTGGCCCTGGAGGGGACATGACCATCAGCCATGTGGAATCTGGGCAGAGCTCCCTGAGGGGGTGACCTGAGCCGGCGCGAGGTCACCAGCAGGGGCATGGAAAGAGTCTAGCAAGGACATGGGGCATGCAGCAATGTCCGCTCGGCCCCCCTGGCCTTCCTCTGAGCATGTGTAGACCATTTGCAGCCTTGCCCTAGCTTGGCATCGGGTCCTACACTGTCCTGCGTCTGTTCACTGTCTTCCTGCCGTCAGGGCTGTGCGTGTCCATGGTGGGTGGGTAGTGACATGGAGGCTTCGAGGGTGACTTGGACAGTGTCACCCAGCCAGGATGGACGCACAGGTCTCCTGACACCCGCAGGCTGCCCACCACGCTTCCTAGCAGCCAAGTATTGCCAGTGCCGTGCTCCCCAGTAGGCAGGGAGCGGCCAGGACCTGGGGATGGGGACAGAGTGCTCCTACAGCTGTCACGGCCTGCCCCGCAGGGACAGCTTCCCAGCCTGCCTGTCTCTCGCTACATCGGAGAGTCTGGCAAGGGCTTGGGCTGGAGGCTGAGGGGCTGGAGGCCAGCAGAGACCTTGAGATGTGGGTGGGAGGGGAAGCCGCGTTCTGACAGTTGGGAAGCTGCCGGCTGCACAGGAGCCCGTGCAGGAAAGAGCAAGAGCCCACAAAACCGCCACGCTGCCCGCGGCCTCCCTCCCCTCGGGGCCTCTGCCCACGGAGCGCTGTTTTTATTGATCCAGGCCTCGGATCCCCTAAGATGAGCAAGCCCCAGACCTCCCCCTGGGGCAGGCCTCTCTCTGCAGGGGGAACGCATGGGAGTGGAAGGAGATGCCGTCAGGCTGCTCTGGGTAAATAGGATTCATCCGCCGTGGTGTTGTGCAGAGTTTCCAGGAGCTTGGGGGAAGAGGTGCCATTGGGACAGAGGTAGACAGACATCGCTATCTCTCGGGGCGGAGACGGGTGCTCAGGGCAGGGGACTGCTGTGTGCCAGTGCGTCCAGGCCAGGAGGTGGTGTGGGCATGGTGAGACATGGGTGTTTTGGCAAGGCAGGGGAAGGCTTGAGCCAGGCTCAGGCAAAGGATCCTAAGACCAGATGAAGAGCAGGCCGAGAAGCGTCCGCAGTGCCAGCTCAGGGGCTCGGTTTGATCAGCTCCTGCCCTTGATTGTCCTGCTTCCTCTGTCTGGAACCAGTCACTGTCCCCACGCCAGCGGGAGGCCCCTCCCCCGCCTCTGGGCGGAGGCTTGAAGGCCTGCTCAGGAGCCAGTTGGCCTGCAGGGAGGGGGGACCCCCCAGGGCACCCCAAGGCCCCTCCCAGCATGCCCTTCCTCTTCCACTCACCCCACTGGCCTTCCTCTGTCCCGTGTGTCTGCCGGACTCTGCACCTGCTCTCCCCTCTCACCTGGAACCAGGGGTGACCCAGAGCTGGGGGGCTGTGAGGCACCACATGATGGTGCGCGCAGGGGCAGGGCATGGTGGGACAGCGGGGGCCCTGCCTGCGATGTCTGGGCCTTTCCCGAGAGCCACAGATGGCTGGGCGGGGGGGAGGGCAGGGGTGTCATCACTGTGGTCAAGGCTGGCTTTGTGGGGACCTCTGTGGGGCTCACACCAGATGAATGCACCTAGGCCTCTCCTTGGGGTCTCTGCATGCCCCCCCCTCCCGCGCAGCACTGCGGCTGGTGCCAAGAGCAGTTGTCTCAGGAGAGAGCTGGGAGGAAGAGCCTGGCGGTTCTTATGAAGGTGGCCCAGAGGTCACGAGCCACGGCTTCCCCCTCCTCCGTCCAGACAGCCCAGGGGATCTGCCCAAGTTCAGGGGGTGGAGATGAGTCCAGCACCTGGGAGGAGGGAGCGGCAGGTGCGTGCAGCCGAGCCTCATTTGGGGAAGGAGACGGGCGGCATTTTTGGAAGACACCACGTACCACATTTCCATAATTCAGTGTCATTGGGGAATGGTGTTTGACTTCTTTTAACGGAAAGCTAATCATGCTACCTTCGGGGGTTTGGATTTATTCTGTGATGTGAAATGAGTCCAGAAGTCAGAGACTTGGGTCAGATTTGGCAACTGTCTTTCTGTTGTGCCTCATGCACACCAGTAGCTGCTTCAGCTGTAGCCATTGCGTCCGTGCTCCAGGCAGGAAGACGAAGAGGAGACCGCAGAAAAAGTGCCTGTCACCCAGCTTAGTCGCTTGAAAAACTTTTCTGAAATCAGTTTCTTCGTCTCACTGGGCCCTTGTGGCTTCAGGAGAGGCTGGATTTGCTGGCTAAGAGAGGCTGCAGGGCTGGGAAGGGGGCTCCGTGGTGCAGTGCTCGCCTGGCATGCATGAAGCCCTGGGTTCCATTCCTCTACACCACACACGCAGAAAAAGCCAGAAGTGGGGCTGTGGCTCAAGTGGTAGAGCGCTAGCCTTGAGCAAAAAGAAGCTCAAGGACAGTACCCAGGCCCTGAGTTCAAGCCCCAGGACTGGCACCAAAGGGGAGGGGGCTGGATTAGCTGGTTGAGAGCTGGTTACGGCTCAGTTTGACTCTGTGGCCTTCCTTGCTGTGTGTTCGGGCAGAAGGAGCAGCAGATGCCTGTGGGAAGCTTTCCTCCTGGGGATGACTAATCGAAACATTAGAGCGCTTTGAGAGTCGTGTTTACAACCGCCTCGTTACTTCTCCTGATGTCTAGTCAGCCAAGCCCAGGGTCAAGGGACCGAGGATGCGAGCTTGCCCCGTGGGGAGGGCCAGGCAGGGACCGGACAGGGCAGGGGCGGGGCGGGGAGAGGGGGCGGGGCGGGGGGGGGGAGATGCAGATGTGTGTCTTTCTTCCATGGGCTTTCTCATGCACGCACTTGGTTCTCTTCTCCGCGGCACTTTCTCTGTGTGCATTTACCTGTCTTATGTGTTTGCTGACTTGTTAGGCGTGCTTTTGTTTCCATTTGGTTCAACACCTTTTCTTTGACCCAGCTGTTCAATTTAACATGTGTGTGTGTTTCCCAGCTCTGCTGCACCAGCTCCACTCCGGGAGCAAAGGGACCTTGCGTGGTCTGGGGCCTTTTACGTTGGGATTTGATTCGCAGCGTGGCGTGTGGTGCAGTGACTGTCGGTGTGTGCGTGGACGGGCTACGCTCTGCTGTGCTGGCCGGGTCCCCAGGCTGTCCCTCGGCCAGGCCGGTCAGTGGGTGCGCTCCAGCCCTCTGCCCTGCTGGCTCCCCGTGCTCTCTGGTATCTGAGGCTGCTCAGGGCTCAGCTGTGAGTGTTGTTTTCTCGCTGGCTTCGATCCGGTGCTGTTCTGCTCCGCCGTGTCTTTCGGAGCTGATTTTTGGTGCTTGTCCACCGTCTGCCTCCCTCACCAGCCTGCGCTTCAGGAGAGCAGCCCATCATCTGCGCCCAGCCACTGTGATGCCCACTCCGCAGCCGGGCAGATCAGTGTGTGACACGTCCTGTCCTCCTGCTGTCAGAACCACCTCCGCCAGCCAGGTGTGGCGGCTTGTGCAGGGTTCCTGCCCTCCAGAGCGGGGCAGCCTGCGGGGGGAGGGGGCACCCCAAGGCACCTGGCCCAGGCTTCCCCGGTTCAGGAGAGAACCCCAGGGGAGTCCTGGCTAATAGCTGGGTAAGGAAGTGGCATCTGGAGCCAAGAGGGAGGGGGGGAGCAGAGGCGGTGGGCAGCCAGCACCAGAGCGAGGGCCGGGAGGGAAGGGGCACCTGCCATGCTGGGCCAGTGGTTTGATCCTGAGGGCCTGTCGGGAGACTGGAGGTGACAGTGACAGGAGGCCTGGCCTGGCTCCGTGACATGCCGCTGGCTCGGGCAGGGCTAGGCCAGCTCATCCAGACTCTGGCCGCGGCTCCCCGAGACCAGTTTGTGAAGCCGTGGGTAGTGGAGGCCTTCCGTGAGCCAGGCTTGCAGGCACGGACGCTGCGTGAAGGGAGGAGATGCGGTGGGGGCCTGGCCTTGTCTGGGGTGGGAGTCGTATCTGGTGCTGTCGGGGCTTGGCTGGGGTGGTTCATGGTTTTGTTCTGCTTCATGGGCATCTGTCTCCTCCCTGGGAGGGTGGCTGCGCTTGCAGTGGCTACGTGACCACGAAGGGCTGGATGTGTGTGGTGATCCGGGCCCGGGCTGGATGTGTGTGGTGATCCGGGCCCGGGCTGGATGTGTGTGGTGATCCGGGCCTGCGGTTGGCCGTCCTGCCCAGCGGGACTGAGCTGATTCAGAGAGCATTAATTACCATCGAGAAGCAGCTCTCCAAGCAATTAATTAATAGCTTAGTTCCCCAGAGTGCAGTGTAGACACAGCTGCCCATCCTGCCCTTGCCGTCCTCCCTACTCCCCCCCCCGCCCTCCCCCCGTCACCGCCCCTCCACCAGGGCCCTGGCCATGAAATGGAGGTTGCGGAGTCAGCAAGTGTGATAAACCTTCCATGTCACCCACCTGGCGGGCTTTCCCGACAGCGGGAGAAGATGCCCTGTGTACAACATGGCAGCCGCAGCGTGTCCCCTCCCACCCCAGGCCACGGTCCAGCCCCAGAGGATGCTGGGACCGCGGTCAGAACTCTCTGGACCCTGATTCTTCCCATGCTACACCGGTGGTTTGTCAATTAGGCACAGCAAGCGAAGCGCGGTAGCAGATCGCGAAGCCCCCGCTGTGACCGTGGGCTGTGGTGAGGGCGTGTGTGGTCTGCCTCCCGGCGCCTTCCTGCACGCGTGGGATGAGGGGGGTCAGGCTGCTGGGGGCCTGTCCTTTCTGTCCTTGGTAATGAGAAAATTCACCTTTCCACTTAGTGGACACACTTAGGACAGCCCCAACCCATGTGAGCTGCCAGCGAACGGTCCCTGTGCTGTGGGGTCACTGGGAGTCAGATAAGCGTACTGGGGACAGTTGGGGACCCAAGGGGCCATTGAGCGATGCGTGGGCAGGCAGGACAGGGTGGATGCCGGGTGGGTAACTCACTGGGCAGGGGCGATCGCTCCCATGGAAGATGGGGCTTCACGCTGCTCACCACGGGATCCTCTCGGAAACCTAGGGATGTTCTGTTGAATGTTTTTAGATCTCAGTGGTCTAAGGGTCACTGAAGCCACGGACCGGGGGGCTGCTGGTCCACGCTCACACGCCAGGCCGTGCACAGAGTCCTCGTGTTGGGGGATAGCGTTTTCCTCATGGCATTCTGCGTGAAGCTGGAGGGGGGGGGGTCTATGAGTGGTGCTCTGGGTGCCAGCTTAGGCAGCCCTGTGAGCAGCAGCTGGGCTCTGGCTTCTTGGGGTACAGGTAAGGGTGTGGGGTGCGGTGACGCTGGTCCAAGGTTCCACGGCCATCTTTGCGAGGCCGGCCTGGAAGCCTGGGTGCCGCTGAGGGAAGCCCACGCTCAGGCCTGTCCACCCCCGGGCTCAGGATTTCCACGCCGCCATCACGAGGGCCTTAGAAGAGGCGGACCCCGGTGGGGACGCGCTGGCCCGGGAGGAGCTGCAGAGGGGCCTGAGCGAGCTCCCAGCCCTTCTCGACCTCCACCGGGGCATCCTGGAGGACCTGGAGCAGAGGCTGCTGGACTGGTGAGGCCCAGGGCCCCTGGGGAAGCGGGGACACGGGTGGCGGCCACGAGTGAGCTCCGCGCCGGTCCCAGGTGGTTCTGTTCTCACCGTCCGTGCCCTCGCCGTGGCTGCAGGGAGGGCCAGCAGAAGGTGGCTGACGTGTTCCTGGCGCGGGAGCAGCACTTCGAGCACCACGCCACGCACATCCTGCAGTTCGACCGGTACGTGGGGCTGCTGGCCCAGGACTGCCTGCGATCGCCCCCGCTGGCCGCCGCCGTGCGTGAGTTTGAGGTAGGTCCGCGTCCTCCGAGACCCTGGAGGGGTAAGGGCCGCCGTGGCTGCGCAGCGAGCAGAGCAGGAGACCTGGCTGGGGTGTGGGGGGACCATGGGGAGGGAAACTCCAGGTCATCCTCTGCCGGGCAACAGGCCGCACTGGGCCCCATTCTGCTCCCCTGGTTACAAAGCATGAGCTAGTGGGGGTCCCAGAGGCTGGCTACAAACTGGGGATCCCGTTCCTGCGTGGAGATGGGGGGCTTCTCCCTGTTGGGGATTGAGGGGCAGGGCAGGGTCTGGGTCTGAAGGAGCCACAGCCGGACGGCCACACTAGGCAGGCTTCCTGGTGTTGAAGCCGGGGCAGGCGCTGAGGTTGGCGGGAAGAGGTGTGAGGTGCCGGTGACTGGGGTGCGGTGTGCCCCCAGGCCGAGGCCGGGGAGACAGCGGGCGCTGAGCCGAGGCCGAGCTCCCTGACCAGCTTCTCCCTCCAAAGCAGCAGAGCGGGCTCGGGGGTGGCTGGAGTGTGAAGCACCAGCTGCTGCGCGTGGTCCAGCGTCTCTTCCAGTACCAAGTGCTGCTCACAGGTGGGCCGGGGGCTGGGCGGGCAGTGGGCAGGGAGAGGGCGTGTGCGCATGCGCGTGCGCACCGCCAGGCCTGCGATGTGAGTGTTGCCTCCGCTTGGTTAGCCGGCGTGGGGAGGGAGGGTGGCACGGCCCTGCCTTCCGACAGTCAGGCCCTAGCTTTCCCCTCCCAGAAGATGGCAGGTTGAGTGCCAAGGTTCAAGAGTGAGCAAGACTGCCCACACAGGCAGCGTGGAGTGTGCTGGAAATCAGTGCATTAGAGGCTCAGCACATCCCTCCCTGTCCCCCTGACCCTGGGCCATGGACTTATCCCATCTGCCACCCAGGGCCGCTGTCCCTCTGGAATGCAGTGCGTCTGTTCCCAAAGGCCTGGCCTGGCACCAGGCGCGCAGCGGGCACCCGGGGGCGGGGTGGTTGAGGAGCTGTAATGCTGGGGTTGGCTTGGCGTCTGATGGGAGAGAGGGTGGAGGCCCCACTGTTGTGTCCCCTCAAGACGGGGCGCCAGGTGAGTTGAGGAGAGAGGGCGGGCATTGCCTGGGGAAGCTGACTCCTGCCCCTCCTTCCATTCCCAGACTACTTAAACAACCTGTGCCCAGACTCCGCCGAGTACGACAGCACGCAGGGTAAGTGGGAGGCCCAGGGAAGGGGCCGCCTCCTTGTCCAGTCCCCCTCCCCGCCCCGCACCCAGCACCCAGCACCAGTGGGGGGGACTCCACCCCCCCCCGCCCTCCCTCTCCCACCCAGCACCAGTGGGGGGGGACTCCACCCCCCGCCCCCCCCCCCCCCGCCAGCCGGGCATGCTTTGCATTTGACCCCAGAGACTCCCCAGGTGTCCACTCTGGGGAGCCTCAGATACCACTTCACAGCCAGGGAAACTGAGGCAGAGTGGTCAAGTCACAGTCAACATCAGTTGGGTAGTTACGGTAGCACTGCAGGTGGGATCTGACCCGGTGCTGCCTCGCCCACAAGGCCCTGCCACAGCAGGGACGGCACCTGCGGGGGGGGGGGGCAGGTGGGGGGAGGTGGGGCCCAGGAAGGGGTGAGGATGGGGACAGCCTGACCGGCCCTCCCCACACCGCCCTGCTGTCCACTCTCCTCCCTCCCCAGATGCACTGAGCCTCATCTCCAAAGTGACGGACCACGCCAACGACAGCATGGAGCAGGGGGTAAGCTTCGGGACACGGGTTCCGGGACCTCTCTACCGTGCCCCACCTGCCTGGGGCACCTACCCACAGTCCATGTCCTGGAGCTCTGCCCTGAGCCCCCTGCTGAGTGGCTGCTCTGGGCATCCCTCTCTGGGCCTCTGGTTCACCAGTTGAACAAGGAGGCCACAGAGCTGTCCAGGCCTGGTAAGCAGTGCCCTGCTGAGTCACCCAGGGGTGACACGGGAAAGGCTCTAGGCACACCGCACGCCTTCCCTGCAGCATGTCTGGGCAGAGTTGCAGCCACAGGTTCTGAATGCCCACGCAAGACCGGGAATGGCCGAGTCACTGGACCGCCGGGGCTGACACCCAGGACTCTGTTTGTTAAGACATTCATCATGGACCCCCTGGCTTCTGCCAAGAATAGCCCACATCCTAACTCGAGTCCAATGGTTACCATGGTTACCCCATCCAGGTAGTCACCAGCTATTAATAGGCTGGAGCTATGTGTTGAGCGTGGCTCTGAGGCCGAGTCCTGGCTGCATGGAGAGTTCAGTGATCCATTAGTTATGTCTTCCACAGGCACAGGAAGCGGGTGGGGTGGGGTGTGTGCTGTGGTGTTGTTCCACAGTGTAGGGACTGATAGTCACCACAGAAGAAGAGAAGGAAATAGCACCTAGCAGGAATGGCATTCTGAGGGTCAGGCCTTGAGCTCGGATGGTCACTGGAGGTGCAGCGGTGGTGGAGGTGAACCCCATTTCTAGAGGAAATCACAGCTGAGTTGAGCACTGGTCCCTGGATGCATGCAGCAGGTCAGGAGGGAGGCCCCAGGGAGAAGGAAGCTGTGGAGGCCCCAGGTTGGGTTTGCACAGGTGCCAAGAAGGCAGAGGGAGGAAAGGACTGGTCTGGGACCCGGTGTGGAGAAGGGAGTCAGCTGTATGGACGGTCCCATCGCTCAGGGCTGGAGCACAAGACGGAGGGAAGGAGGGAGATTGGAGCTGGCTGGGGAAGAGCAGCGGAAGCCAAGTGAGCTTGAGAACACAGGCCAGTTGCTGGGGTGGGGTTGTTACCTGGCCTACACACACACACACGCACGCACGCCCGCACGCACAGCCCCATGCTGTGTCATCTGTGCAGCCAAAATGCAGAGGTGCTTCGGGGCTCATGCTCCGGCATGGTGTGGGGCCGGGGCTTGGCTTCTCCCCACACCACAGACAGTTGGCCTGGCGGGGCTGGCTTAGGCCCTGGGCCCCTGGGCAGGAGGAGAGCCACCGTGGGTGGGTCGCCTGGCTTTTCTCACTGCTGGAGCAGAGTGTCCGCGTGCAGCTCTCACCACGCGGTGGAGGACCGTGTGGGCGGAGGCCTGACACGTAGGGGTGGAAAGGCTGGTTTCCGCCCACAGGACTCCCACCCGGCCGCGTGCCTTGCACCGCACTTAAGGCACATTGCCACGGGCGGGCCCGCGCTTAGCACTAATTCTAGCATCCTGTGCGGCACCGTGGGCGCACCGCCGCGCATCGCGGGAGTCCTGAGTGGTCCTCAGGGTTATTGTCTAATCTGCATCTCCAGAAGCATGTTTTCTTCAGCAGGCCGTGCATTTCTCACCTGCTACCCCCGGACCCCGAGGCTGCCAGCAGGGCGGGAGAGGCTGGGTCTGGCCAGCCTGGGCTCTAAGTTCCTGAATCCAAAGCCCTTAGCAGATCAAGGAACACAGGCCGAGGGCTGGAGCTGTGACCGGGAGACAAGCAGGTGTTAGTGGCCCAGGGATCATCCCGGGCTCACCAGGGGCGGCTTCGTGCCAGGACCCAGAAAGACTGGCCTGCCTGCGGCCGGTCCTCGGCCGTGGCATCTGCAGACGCAGGCCCGGGCGCCAGCCCCGCCTGCCGTTTATAGGTTGGATTTGAGGCAAGGCCTCCCCAAACTCCATTTTCTTGTGTGAAAAGGAGCCGATAAGGCACCTGGAGGCCTGACGTCTCCCGCTCTGCCCCCACCCACAGGAAAACCTGCAGAAGCTCACCCATATCGAGCACAGCGTCCACGGCCAGGGGAATCTCCTCCAGCCAGGAAGGGTGAGTGCCGCCGGGCGGGGCACAGCCGGCCGAGGCCGATAAGCTCTATTGTTCAGTAGGCGGCCCGCAGACCTGGCTGCAGGTGCCATTTTCTCCAGGACGGGTGGGGTGCCTGTCCCTGGGCTTGTCCACCCCTCGTCTTGCCCGTGTTGGGCAATTTAGAGAAACGGTGCCCGTGACGCTGTATGCCCTGTGGCTCTGCTCACCTCCAGAAGAAGAGGCATCAAGTGTTTATAACACAGAGATGCTGAGGAAGCAGAAAACCATCCAAATGTAGAAGGCATCTTAAAAATAATGTTGGCAGACACCGGTGGCGCACACCTGTCATCCCAGCCACTCAGGAGGCTGAGAGCTGAGGAGCGAGGCTTGAAGCGAGGTTTTCCTGCCCAGGCAGGAAGGTCCATGAGACTCTTATCTCCAATTTGTCACCAAAAAGCTAGATGTGACGCTGTGGCTCAAGTGGGAGAACACTAGCCTTGACCACAAAAGCTCCGGGACAGTGTTTAGACCCTGAGTTCAAATCCCAGACAGGCCATAAAAAACAGAAGTCCTTTAAGAGACAGGGTGTGCTGGGGGTGTCGCTCAATAGCAGAGCACGCTTTAGTGCCAGGTTCCCGCGTTTAGTTCTTAGCACCAGAAACAGAAACAGAAGGGGGCTGGAGAGAGGGGTGAGCTTACTTACTTTTTAAGTTGCCAAATGAGAAGCATACCACCCAGCTCAGAAACAGTGAAAAACGGAGTGGTTGACAGTGGCGGGCGGTTGTATTGGGGGGTGGGGCTCTCACGGGTAGGGGTGGGGTGGGGCTCTCACGGGTAGGGGTGGGGCTCTGCGAATGCACACTCAACATTCACTAAATGTAGCAGCCACTCTGTTCCAGTTGGGCACCTCACGGGGGCTCATGGTTTGGGCCCCACTGGACGGAGTGTGTGGGGCAGGCCCAGGGAGAGGGTTCCCCGGGGCGGGGGTGTGGGGAGGACTGGCTGCGGTCCCTATGCCGCTCTAGCTCATAGCTGGCATGGGTGGGAGCTCAGCGTCGAGGTGGTCTGCCTGCTCAGGAGCTCATGCCCATGTTTCCCACTCGGGGCCTCCCTGGCCCTCCCCTGGGACAGCGCCCCTGCTCACCGGGGTCTGCCTGTCTCCCCAGGAGTTCCTGAAGGAAGGGACGCTGGTGAGGGGGAAGGACAGACACCCCAGGCACCTGTTTCTGGTAAGCACCTGGCCCCAAACCTAGTCCTGGGCCTGTGGAGTCGTGCGGCTTTCTTCCAGGCTGGGACTGCGGGACAGTTGTAGGACCGGGGCCAGGGTGGAGGATGAGCTGACGTCTGCAAAGCTGCCCTCAGCTGCTTTCCAGGAGGGGCTGCCGGGGTGAACTGCCCAGTGCCCACGGTGGCCAGCCGAAACCAGGCATCTTCCAGCCGGGGTTGGCTGTTGCCTCCTTGGGAGCAGGAGAGAGCCGGGAGTCGCCCCGGGCAGCCCTCTAGCAAGGGGCAGCTGACGCCCAGAAGAACCTGACCCAGCGCGCTGGGTGCCAGTCCGCGCTGTCACCCTAACGGATATCCAAGCTGAGCAACTAGAAAGGCTCACCTCTGCCGCGCCCCACACAGACCCAGCCTCTGAGGGCCCGCGAGAGGCAGGACTCCAGAGAGGGCTGGTGCTCCCGAGCAGACAAGTCCTGAGCTTAGCCAGGGAACGTGGGAACTGCTGGGCCTCGGTGGCTTGTGTCCTGGAGCGTTGCGGGCTCTTCGGCTCTGCCTCACCAACAGGCTGACCCCAGATTCAGACTCTTTTTTCCCCCCTCTATCTCTTTTAGACAATCCACTCTATAGTTAAGGCTAGCCTTGAACTCCAGATCTTCCTACCTCAGCCTTCCAAGGGCTGGTCTTGTGGCGTGCTTCTCTGGGCTTTCTGCATCTTCCCTCCTTCACTGCGCTCTACCCAGGTTCCATTTGTGGAGTGAAACGCACTGACCCTAACTTACCTGTCTGTCTGTGCTAACAAGGACAGTGCTGTCCATCCACTGAGAGTGCCGCCGACACCCCCACCCGGGCGCTTCCCTGGGCCTCTTGGCAATGTCCCCACAGGAGACCTCTGTCCCTTCAGCTTGTCTTGGCCTGTCCTGAGCCCTCATATGAATGTAACCAGCTTATTCTTGTGTCTGTGTGTCTGTGTGTCTGTGTGTGTTCCTTCACTCTGCATTAGTGTGAGATTTGTCTGTGTGGCCACGTGTCTGTGTCTCTGTGGCTGTCTGTCATGTCTGTCTGTGTGTTTGTGTGTCTGGGCAGTTGTTTCTTGGAGAGCTGCACAGAATTCCATAGCACAGCCCTGCCTGTTTCTCTTTCTGTTCGCCTGTGATAGGTGCTGGGCTGTTCCTACTTTCTGACTGTTAACCAGTAAAGCTGTTGTAACATCCCCGAGCGTGGCGTGTTCAGGAAACAGGCTTTGCTTTCTGTTGGCTCCTGACACGGAGTGGGGTGCAGAACGGTTTGCTTAGCTGAAGGGGTCCCTTGAGGCGTGCCAGGAGCCCCAAAGCTGAGGTGTCACCTCTGACGGAGCTGCCTTCTCCCCAGATGAGCGACGTCCTTCTCTACACATCCCCGCAGAAGGACGGGAAGTACCGTCTGAAGAGCTCGCTGCCCGTTGCCAGCATGAAGGTAGGAGGCCTGGGCCCTCCGGGTCCTGCAGGCGCTCCAGGGGACATGCGAAGGGGACAGAGGAAGCCCCAGGGGACAGGTGTTCCCTTTAGAACCCACGTCTCCACCAGGAGCCCGACTTCACCTGGGCAGCTGGGCCTCCAAAACCTGCCATCCTGAGGAGGCTTGCCTGGGCGGGTGGGGAAACTGAGGCGAAGGGGGCATCCGTGTCCCAATGGAGGTCGGTGCTGGCCCCTCCCTGCCGCCCTGGACAGCTGCTGCTGCTTTCCTGGCAGGTCAGCCGCCCTGTGATGGAGCGAGTGCCGTACGCGCTGAAGATCGAGACTCCTGAGTCGTGCCTCACGCTCTCCGCCAGGTATGGCCTGTCCATGCGGCCCTGCGCGCTGTGGGAGCCGGGAGAGGGCCCGCCTTCATCCTCGCACCTGGGGGACCGAAGACCTTTCTTTGTTTTCAACCTCTCTTAAGCATTGTGTGCTCACACCCTTGTAGCATCTGATCCTCATAGCAACTGCTCCACCTTCCCACCCCAGAAAGACTGCCTCCTCCTGATTCCGGGTGTGGCTGGAGGTGGCGGTAGTTGGAGCTTCGTGGCGGGTCAGGGGCAGCGGGAAGGGTGCAGGCGAGCGAGCTGAGTGCTCAGGGCCGTGCGTGGCGCAGTCTGATGGCGCTTTCGTGGGGGGGGGGGATGCAAGAGGCAGGGCGAAGAGCGCGAGCCGTGGGGTCTGCTTCGGGGGCTTCTTTGTTCAAGCTGCCTCAACAGAAGCCCACAGACTAGCTCCTGGTGTAGAGGCTGGGAGCCAGCCTTCTAGCCTCCTGACAGGAAGGGTTCTTCTTCTTGATGTAAAGTGGGCATGCGGAGGCCCAGGGTGGAGATTCTGTTTGTCCAGCCATTATTACTGAGGTGGTGGCAGTGGTGCCTGGGCCTTCAGACAGGCAGGCTCCAAGTCACTGGCAGGCACGGGCCTGTCGCCTTCCGCCCAGACCCCCGGCACCGGAGCCCAGGCAGAGGACTGGGTCCCTTTTACCAAGATGGCGCCTGACCAGGTCCACGCCACCTCCATGCCCCACTCTCTCCCTCCCTGGCCACCGTGTCCCCTCCCTGCCCAGACTCTTCTGGGCCACTACACACTCGGTGCGGGGACATTGTGACACCTAGCGGACGCTGTGGGAACTGCCACCCTGTGCAGTACAGCATGGCGCTGTACCGGGCAGGGACCGTACCAGGCAGAGAGGGAGCTGGGAAGTCGGCCGTGGGAGGTGTATGGGTGTGGGAAACAAGGTGGAAGGTGGAGACGGGATGGGATGGCAGGATGTCTCCTGCCAGCTGGGCCCTTCTAAAGCTCCACCCCCCACATCGCATCCCAGCCCCCCCACACCCCACCACCAGTTAGAGGGCAGCACTTCCCCGGAGGGGAGGGGCCCGTGGCCCGTGGGGCCGGCGGGTGGCCCGCGCTCTGGCTGCGGGGCTAGGCGTCCGGGCAGCGGCTTAGAGGAGGATGCGTCCGCCGAGAGCCGCCAGGCTCACCAGCTGCGCCCACAGCTCCTGCGCGGAGAGGGACGAGTGGCATGGATGCCTGAGCAGAGCGCTCCCTGAGGACTACAAGGCCCAGGCGCTGGCGGCCTTCCAGCACAGCGTGGAGGTGAGCGCGGGGACGCCGGGCGGGGTGTGCCTCCTGCCCGCGTGGCCCTGGCGCCCCAGCCCCCGCCTCAGTCAGCCACCCCCACGCGACCCAGGAGCACGGTGCTCCACCGCGCCTCCCGTCCACTGTGCTCCCCACCCAAGGGCTGCGGAGCAGGGTTCAGGAGAGGCGCCTCCCGCAGGGCCCGGGCCCGCGTCTGTTCTGCGGGGTGGGGGCCACCAGGCTTGCCCCATCGAGCTGCTGTCTGAGGCCTTCTGACTCTGACGCTGCAGGTTCGGGAGAGGCTGGGGGTCAGCCTGGGAGAGAGACCCCCGACGCTGGTGCCCGTCACACACGTCCTGATGTGCATGAACTGTGGCTGCGACTTCTCGCTCACCCTGAGGCGCCATCACTGCCACGCCTGTGGTAAGGTAAGTCGCCAGCCTGGTGAGTGCGGCCGTGGGGGGCTCGTGTGATCCCCTTCCAGCCAGGACCCCCGAATAGGTGGAGTGTTCTTGACACTTCAGGGTATCATGAGTCTGCGGCTCCCAGCCCCAGGCCTGGGATATTTTCAAAAGATCATGATCCTATCCCAGCTACTTGGGAGGCCGAAATCAGGAGGATTGTGGTGTAAGGCTAGCCAGGAGGGGGAAAATGTGTAAAACCTCATCTTGGCTAATAAAAAGCTACGTGTGATGGTTCACAACTGTCACCTGAGCGGTGTGGAAAACAAGAGGATTGCTGTCCAAGCCAACCCAGGAGAAAGACCCTATTTGAAAAACACAGAAAGGGCTAGAGCGTGGCTCAAGTGTCAGAATGCCTACCTAGCAAGTACAAGAACCCCAGTTCAAACCCAGTATTGCCAAAGAAAAGACAGCTTTGGGCTGGATCCTAAGAGTATCAGATCATACAGGTTGCGGTTCTTGCCTTGGGCCCATGGCCTGGGGGCCCAGGGCTCAGCCATGGCCCCGGGCGAGGGCCAGACCTTGGGCTCCTTGGAGGAGGTGGGGGTGAGTGGAGCTAAGGGAGGCTGGGCGGTCTCCTTCGCACACTGAGACGGTGATGACGGCTCAGACGCATGCTCCACATGCATGCAGATCGTGTGCCGGAACTGCTCCCGGAACAAGTACCCCCTGAAGTACCTCAAGGACCGGATGGCCAAGGTGTGCGATGGCTGCTTCGGGGAGCTGAAGAAGCGGGGCGGGGCCGTCCTGGGCCCCATGAGAGGTGAGCTGCGTGCTCCTCACCTTCCCCCTCCCGCCTGCCTGCCCCAGCGCGCGCTCCCCTGCCCCAGCGCGCGCTCCCCTGCCCCAGCGCGCGCTCCCCTGCCCCAGCCCGCGCTCCCCTGCCCCAGCCCGCGCCCCCCTGCCCCAGCCCGCGCCCCCCTGCCCCAGCCCGCGCCCCCCTGCCCCAGCCCGCGCCCCCCTGCCCCAGCCCGCGCTCCCCTGCCCCAGCGCGCGCTCCCCTGCCCCAGCGCGCGCTCCCCTGCCCCAGCGCGCGCTCCCCTGCCCCAGCCCGCACTCCCCTGCCCCAGCCCGCACTCCCCTGCCCCAGCCCGTGCTCCCCTGCCCCAGCGCGCGCTCCCCCAGCGCACGCTCCCCTGCCCCAGCGCGCGCTCCCCTGCCCCAGCGCGCGCTCCCCTGCCCCAGCGCGCGCTCCCCTGCCCCAGCGCGCGCTCCCCTGCCCCAGCGCGCGCTCCCCTGAGGAGGAGGAGGGGCAGAGACGCTCAGGACACAGACGGGAGTTCAAGCCTTCCCACACCTGTGTTCCATGGGAAACTGACTGTGTTCCCACAGACGGCTTCTGCACGCAGCTGCGTTCAGGGGGTGGTGTTTCTGTGAGGGAACACGGTAGACAGGGCGTTGGGCCCATGTTACCCCAGAGCCCACTAGGGGTGCCCCACAGGCCTGCTCCCTGTGGGACCCCCAGGGGTGGATGGGAACACGGGGAAGGGCAGAGGGCCGGTGATGAAGGGGCAGGCTGCGTCGTGTCCAGCAGCTGGGGCGGGAGGGAGAGCAGGTGCAGCCCCCTCCCGCTGCCCCCTCCCGCTGCCCCCTCCCGCTGCCCCGCTGAGGTGTCCAAGCCCCGCCGGGCAGGGGACGTGTAACCACCTCCACCGCTTCCCCACGCAGAGCGGCCCGTGAGCATGAGCTTCCCCCTGTCCTCGCCCCGCTTCTCCTCTGTCCTCCAGAGCATCAGCCCCTCTACCTTCAAGAAGCAGAAAAAGGTTCCTTCGGCCCTGACTGAGGTAAGGCAGGTGGGGTCCCTGTGCCCCCCTAGAGGGGAGACTCATCAGAGAATGGGGTCCGGCTCCCCCGGTACAGCAGACTGGACAAACAATTCCTTCAAGAGCTTCCCGCCCCTGCGAAGGGCACTCTGGTCTGTGATGCCTGCTGGAGAAGGAGCCTGCCTGCTGTGAGCCCCGGAAGATGCCCGCGGGGGAGGGGCAAAGCGTCCTCCCTGCCTGTCCCTCCGCATCTTCCCCTTCCCTTCCCTCCTGCCCCACCCCCCCTCTGCCATGGGGCCCGCGGGGCCGCGGCACCAGCTCCTCGCCTGTGCGTCTCATCCTCCACCTTAGGGCCTCTGAGCTGAGCCCTGACCCCACGCTGGGCGCCCACCCAGAAGGGTGAGGTGGGAAACCTAGTCAGCCCACAAGTAGAAACAGATCCATATCTGCATTCTAACCACGACCGCAGACCAATGTGTGCCTGTGAATGAACGAGCCATCCGGACGCGGGTGATCCGCTGTTCCCAAGCCGCCCCGTTAAGATTCATTATCAAGTAGCAGGTGGCAGTGCGTGACTTGAACAGGGGTAGGGAGTAACAGCTTAGGTGGGGACGCTTCTGTGCATCAACTCACTCCTTTCAGAAATGAAAAGTCTTACACATAGGGCTGAAGGAGTGCTCAGCTCAGCAGTAGAGCACTTGCCTAGAATACACCAGGCCTGGGTCGCTCCCCACCTTCCCCAGACGCACCATAGAAGAGAAAAAAACTTTGTAATAATATACGTGTGATGAAAGTTTGTTTGAACTCGGGGCCTGGGCCGCTGTCCCTCAGCTCTTCAACTCAAGCACTCTTCAGTAAGCACTCTACCTCTTGAGCCACAGCGCCACTTCCAGTTTTCTGAGTGGTTTATTGGAGATAAGAATCTCATGGACTTTCCTGCCCGGGCTGGCTTTGAACCACAATCCTCAGATCTCAGCCTCCTCAGTAGCTAGAATTACAGGTGTGAGCCACCGGCACCCTGCTACTTCTAGCTTTTTGGTAGTTAATTGGAGATAAGAGTCTCATGGACGTTTTTTCCTGGGATGGCTTCAAACCACGATCCTCAGATCTTAGCCTCCTGATTAGCTAGGATCATAGGCATGAACCATTGGCACCCAGCAAAAATAAATAAATATGTAAAAAGTAAACAAATATCAAAATCACATGCAAAAGAAAACATGGTGAGAAGTGCGTCTTCCTCCTCCCCAGGAGGCCACCTCCATCAAATTGATACTAGAGGATGGGTGCTGGTGGCATACACCTGTAATCCTAGGTACACGGGAGGCTGAGATCTGAGGATTGCAGTTCAGAGCCAGCTGGGGCAGGGAAAGTCTGTGAGATTCTTATCTCCAACTAATCACAGGAAAACTCTGCTTAAGTGGCAGAGTGCTAGCCTTGATCAGAAAAGCTCAGGGACAACACCCAAGTCCTGAGTTCAAGCCCCATGACTGACATGACCGCCGGTCTGCTGGCGGTTTGCTCTGTCCTGTTGGCTCTGTTTCACCGGTGCCTTGCCACCTGGCACCTAACCGCTCTTCTTCCTTTCTGCCAGGTGTCCGCCTCTGGTGAGGGCGCGGCCATCAGCGGCTATCTGAGCCGCTGCAAGAGGGGCAAGCGGCCCTGGAAGAAGCTCTGGTTTGTCATCAAGGGCAAAGTGCTCTACACCTATGCGGCCAGCGAGGTAGGGCGCATGCTTGCTTTCCCCTGCCCTGGGAGGCCCCTGCCACCTGCAGGGCCCTGCGGTCCGGGGTGCTGGGACCCATGCTACATGCAGAGACTGTGTGTGGATGCACGGGGCACATGGGGTAGGGATGCATGCAGTCTGTGGGAGTTAGGAGGTGTGGCATGCACACCTGGCACCAGAGGGTGGTCATGTCACCGGAAAGGCCCAGCACCCAGATCGAGCCAGACACACCACAAAAGGAAAAACTTTCTCTCCATTTTGGTTGCTTGGGACAAAATTCAGCAGCTTACAGGAAGTTACTCTTTACATGGTGGTTGTTTTGTGCCAGCACTAGGGCTTGAACTCAAGACCTGGACACTTTCCCTTACCTTTTTTGCTCCAGGCTGGTACTCTACTACTTGAGCTGTACCTTCACGTGCAGAGTTTTAGTGGTTAATAAGTTAAGAGTCTCCTGGACTCTTCTGCTGGTGCTGGCTTTGAACTGCAGTTCTCGGACCTCAGCTTCTGGAATAGTGGGAAGTAATAGGCTTTTGCCATCAGTTCAAGCAGTGCTTCTAAATGAATGAGAAATGTATGTTTTAGTGGATCATTTGTTATGCTTTCCTGGGGGCCAGTGCTGGCATTTGAACTCAGTGCCTCTGCTGGCTGAGCAGGTGCTCTACCACTCGAGCCATGCTTGCAGCCCCTTTTGGCCTTGGTTATTTTTGAGGTGGAGTCTTGCTTTATGCCTGTCTCGAGATCCTCCTACATGTGCTTCCCGAGGTTGCAGGGGATTATAAGCATGCACTGCCACACCCAGACTTTCTGCTTTCTCTGTCTCTGGCAGAACAGGCTCTTGCCACTCTGCCTGGCCACTGGTTGAGATAAATCTCTCAAACTTATTCCCAGGCTGGCCTCCACCTGCCTCCCGTGGCTAGGATTACAGGCTTGTGCCTGGATATTTCTTTCCTGTCTTCTCAATCTAGAAATACTGATGAGGGAGTACTAGCAATCAGCTGGTGCCTGTTGGTCAGGGGCTGTCTAATCTTGCCTCGACCTCAACCTGAACTTGTTTCACCTTCTGAAAGGTTTCTGTCCTCAGGCCCCGTCTGGCTGGGCTGGCCACAAACTGAGGTCCTCAAGATCTCAGCTTCCTGAGAAGTGAGGATTACAGGTGTGAGCCATTGGCACCCAACTGCTGCTGCTTTTCTAATCTCTTGTTTGTGATTTTCGATTCAGATTTGTATCCACAGATGCTGCTGCAACCCTCCTTCCTTAGCGCACCACCATTCTAGGGTGCTTAGTTATATCTGATTTTTCCAAGTCTGTATTATGCATTTTTTTACTTACATAAGTGTATGAGCATAGAGATCCTTTCATACACAAATATTTGGTTTCCCATTATGTGTTTAAGATCCATCTGTGCTCTCTGGCACACACCCTAAATTGCCTGCACTTTTTTGTTTTGTTTTTTTTTTTTGGGTCCGGTTGTGGGCCTGAACTCTGGGCCTGGGTGCTGTCCCTCAGCTCTTCAGCTCAAGGCTAGCGCTCTACCACTTGAGCCACAGCGCCACGTCCTGCTTTTTTTTTTTTTTTTTTTTTTTGCTTATGGGTGCTGAGGAATTGAACCCAGGGCCTCAAGCATGCAAGGCAAGCGCTCTACCACTGAGCCACCTTCCCAGCCCTTGCCTGCACTTTTGTGTGTGTGTGTGTGTGTGTGTGTGTGTGTGTGTGTGTGTGTGAGTGTGTGAGTCTTGGGGCTTTGAACTCAAGGGCTGAACACTGTCCCTGAGCTTTATCGTTCACGGTTAACACTCTGCTACTTGAGCCACAGCTCCACTTCTGGCTTTTTTGTGATTAACTGGACATGAAAGTCTCACGGACATTTCTACAGGGGTTGGCTTTGAACCACAATCCTCAGATCTCAGCCTCCTGAGTAGCAAGGAGGATTACAGGCGTGAGCCACTGGCGCCTGGCTTGCTGGCTGCTTCATAGCAAGCTGTCCTCAGGGTTTCATATTGACACATCATAAATAGGGTTGGAGGAATGGCACAGGATATGGGATGAGTCCAGTCTCTGAACAGCTGGATCGCCAGCTAATCAAGCCAGTGGGAACAATGTCAGAAGCTCCAAGGCTGTCATTCCAAGTTCTGGCTCCTCCCCTCCCTGGCTGTGTGGTCTTAGGACACGATCTTCTCCGAGCCTTGTTTCCATCTTTGAAGGGGGCAGCTCCTGTGCCTGCTGCTGCCAATAGAAAACAATGGAGGTGAAAACACGTTGCCTTTAACAGGCTGCCCTTGCTCAGGCTGGCGCTTGGTGGCCAGGATGGAGAGTGGGGGGGGCCGCTGCCCCTCATGGAGGTGCTCCCCATGACATGCCCCTCGCGACCTGCCCCCCGCGGACGTGCCCCTCCGGAGGTGCTCCTTGGGAGTCCCCCATCGCGGCCCCAGTGTGTGCCACTGTTCAGCCCTCTCTGGTGCCGTGTTCAGTGTGGCTGTCCTTCTGCCCGCTGCAGGACAAAGTGGCCCTGGAGAGCATGCCTCTGCTGGGCTTCACCATTGCTCCGGACAAAGAAGGCGGCAGCGCGGCCGGGGCAGCCTTCCACCTGTACCACAAGAAGAGCCTGTTTTACAGCTTCAGGGCGGAGGACGGCAGCTCAGCTCAGAGGTGCGGGAAACAGCCAGTTCTCTGTCCTTGTCCCCCTGCCACTTCGACATGGGTCATTCCCACGGCTCCGGTCAACCCTCCCCCCCCCACCCCCCCGCTGCCACTGGGACATGGGTCATTCCCACGGCTCCTGCCACCCCCCACCGCCTGCCCAAGCCAGTCACCCCCAGACTAGCACAGGGGCCCGGACCCCTGTTCCAGGCCAGGAGGGTTTTTAGACTCATTTGTTCAGATGTGCACAGATGCAGTAAACTGCCACGCTCCATCCCAGGCCTTATGCTCACTACGGGAAAGCTGTCTGGGAAGCGGACAGGACCAGGACACAGACCTGGATTCCAGGCTGGCACATCAGGCCCAGGCACCTGGGTTTCCGTGCCGAGTTCTGGTGGAGCGGTGACCTAAGTGTTGTCTTCTGTTTGGTAGGTGGATGGCGGCCATGGAAGATGCCAGCGTGTTATAGCAGTCACCAGCCACACGCCCTCAGCACGAACTCTTAGGTTGATATGTGAACCCTTCCAGAAGTTATTCCATGTCCCGACTCCCCCCACCTGACCCAGGCACAGCCGGGCCCGGCGCGGAGCTCGGCCTGTTGGCTGTGACCCCGTTTCGCCTTCTCCAGTGAAGCCCGCACGGAATGTTTCTGGACATCTCCTCTGCCCACGTCCCCAGCCCTCCATGGCTCCCTGATTTCGCGTCTCAAGCTGGGGAAGCCAGTACAACGAGGACGTCCAGGAATGCAGATTTGCTTGTTAGTGGAAACGAGCTTTTCCCAGGTTCCCTCACGGTAAATAGTATCGCCTCCCACACTTCCCGTGCTGCCTCTGGTGACGTGAGACCCGCCGGTGAGGAGCAGCCACACACTCACCCAAAGCACTTTACTCGCGCCCAACTGCCACCTCCGGAGCCGCTTTCCGAATGACACGCTGAAGTCAACAGCAGAGGGCGTCTGTGCACTACCCATCGCCGGTCCCTGGCGGGCCGTGCGTGGAAGGGCTTAGCCCTGGCCTGAACTCTTGGCATCTCTGCCAGGGCTGCGCTCTGCTGCCTAAGGGAGGGAGTGTGTTTCCTGCCCGCTGGTCCTAAGACCCGTTTCCTGCCATAACTTATTGAAAGACGGCTCCCCGCTCCCCCCAGGAAGTCCTCCGTATACCACACAGCAGCTGCAAATGCAGCTACCGTCACATCTGCCTCCAGAGGTCAGCCCACACCCATTGAAGACTCAGTGGTGGCTTTAATTTATTCTGTGCCTTTTCTGTGACTGCCCGTGCGTGTCCCAGAAAGCCTGTCCTTACTGTCCACGCCCAGGAACCCTCAGGCTGGAACTCCAGAGCCTCGTGGCTTCCTGGAAGAGGGAAAGGAGAGAGTAAAGGAGCTGTCATCAGAAGATGATTCTGTCTCGGCAGATGGTTCTGGACACGGTGAGAAGAGCCCAGAGGTGGCATGTGGATGCTGAGCTGTTTCCTGCTGGCGATGCTGCTTGTTAGGCTGGGTGGTTTTACGTAGAGAGGGAGTGCGCCGGGACTCGTGCTTTGGTCCTTGCAGTGAGAACCGAGGACCCACATCATCTTCAGACGCCAGCCGCTGTGTCCTGCTGTCCCGCCGCCTCACGCGGGCCGCGCCCACGCTGTGTAAAAAGCCCCACCTCAAGGACTGACTCGAATTAAATATTTTCAGGGAAAGGTTTTTTTTTTTTTTCTAGTTCCCAGTTCTTCTTTTTAAAGGTTTGCATTAAACATAATTAATGAACTCAGACCATGTGACTCAGACAGATCTTTCTGTTGGTTCTTGAAGTCTTCATTCTGGCAGAACTGTTTTAGTCAGATGTGTGTTTTGGGCCTCCTAGTCCCACGTGGTCATAGCCACTTACCTGTGGCTCACACCTGTAATCCTAGCTACTCAGGAGGCTGAGGTCTGAGGATGACTGTTTGAAGCCAGCCTAGGCAGGGAAGTCCATGAGATTCTTATCTCCAATTAACCATCAAAAAGAAAAAAAGCCAGAAATGGAGCTGTGGTTCAAGTGGTAGAGAGCCAGCCTCGAGCAAAAAAGCTCAAGGACAGCACCCAGGCCCGGAGTTCAAACCCCAGGACTGGCACAAAAACAAAATGCAGTCATTCTTCTTATGTGAGGTTCCTTTCTGTGCTTACAATTACCTGAGGTCAACTGTAATCTGGAAATCTTAAATGGAGAGTTCCAGAAAATAAATAACTCATGTTTTAAATCATTTCTATTATAGTATATATTGTAGTTGTCCCATTTTCTTATTAGTTACTCTTATTAATCTCTCACCGAGCCTAACTTTTAAGTGAAACCATCACAAGTGTTATACATAGGAAAACAGCCTGTAGGATTCAGTGCTCAGGCAGCCAGTGGGGGTCTTGAAATGCATCTCCCGGGTGATGGGAAGTTTCAGGCAGTATTCTACTATTAATAGTCTCTGAGCACGTCTTTTCCTTTAGATCCCCTCCCACCCCAATTATTTTAGGTGCTAAGGATAGAACCCGTGTATGCTAGGTAAGTCCTCTACCACCAAAGAGCTCTTGTCTCTTTTTATCCTATACTTTTTACCTCTTTCACCCATTTCTGATGCTCTTCAAAGGAGAGTTATTAGGGCTTTTATTTCTGTGGTAATATTTTTAAATGTGTGGACTATTGATATGCTAAATATTTAGTGTAGTGGCTCATGCCTGTAATCCTAGCTATTTGGGAGGTGGAAGCTGGAAGATTGTGATTCAAGGCCAGCCCAGGGAAAGTTAGTGCGACCCTGTCTTCCAAAAAAAAAAAACAAAAACAAAATAAAAGGCCTGGGGAAGGGGGTGCGGGGAGCAGCATGGCTCAAATGATGTTCACCTTACATTCTTGAGCCCCTGCCTTCAATCCCCAGTACCACAAAACAGAACATGATAGGTTTTATAAAAGGAAACTAGCAGAGGTCCTGAGGATCTGTGACTCTGGGCAAGGCCCTTCCTGCTTTAACCTTGAGTGACGTCTTCCTCCCATGCTTCTCTGTCCAGGCCAGCTTCTGCCCTGCCCTCCTCTTTGGCCCATTTCACATTCTGACCACCTGTGTGTCCATGGGGTCTGGCAGGAGGGCACGCCTTCCTAGTGGACTCAGGAGCTGCAGAAATGACCAGCTGTGACACCAGAGAGACGTACCCCCGTTCCCCGGCAGAGCTGCGTCTCTACCGCACAAAGGCTGCGTTTACTGGGAGGAAACTACTGTGCTGTGCTGTGAAGCAGACAGAGCTCAGCAAACAAGGGCCTTGGTGGAGCAGCTGGGAGCCTCAGTGTCTTCTGCACTTTCCAGAATTAGGGAGCAAATCCCAGAGTGAACGCTTGCGTTAGGAAGTCCAGAAACTGGTAGAAGGGCCAGCATGATCACGCAGCGAGAAAGTGAAGCTGGGTCCTGCATCACAAGGTGAGAAACACATGCACAGCAAGCGCTTCCTCTCCCAGGAAACAGACCAGACCAGGAGAGAAGCCCCCGGCAGCCTGCACAAGCCCTTCCAGCCCTCCCTTCCCTCCACCTCCTCCGCCTGGCTCCTCATTGCTTCTCACGAGAACCTGTGCAACCTCAGCCTCTGGTGCTTCTGGAAATCTGCAGACGCGGGGCTGCCCTGAAGGCAGGTGGTAATGTACTTTCCCCCAACTGGCTTCACAACTTCCCGCAGACCTAATTTGTTTCTCCCAACTGGGTTGGTCTATGGGTTGGAGACGTGGCTCGGTTAGGAGAGGGTTAGCCAGTGAGCAAAAGCATCAGATACCCAGTTCAAGTGTAGGGCTTGGACCTAAAACAAACAAACAACGAAATAACCAGCTGGGTAGTCTAAATGTTCCTTATCACTAAAGCATACCAGACACATCATCGCCTGGTGAACATCACGCTCCTTGGCCCTAATAATTCTCCACATCAGCAATGTTTCTCTGGCTGGGGATGCACTCACGGGTGGGCTTGCTGCGCCCTACTGGTGGCCTGGTGCTGAGGAAGGTCGTGGGAGTGAGGGAACACTGGGGCTGATTTTAGCATCAGCATGGAGACTTGGAAGGAGCCGTGCAGAGGCTGAAGGGTGGCATCCCCTCCTCACGTTGTACAGCCTCTGTTTCCCCAACAGCGCAAATGTCACTGAACACAGCACCCCCTGGGGCCTGTCTGCTGATGGTGGGACACCAGGTTTGGAACTCAAGTTTTCCTACAGAACAGAGCCGGCAACATGCCGGAATATTCTGTGAATTGATTCGGCCTCCAGCCTCAGACAAGACCGTGCTTGCACACACTCTGGAGGACAGGGCAGCTGGCCCCACACCAAGATGTCTTCTCAGGAAAAGAAAACCCCTCGGAATTGGCTTAACTCAGCAGGGGGTAAAGTTGGAAAGGCTGGAACCATGTTCTGTAGGCTTTTCTTTCCTGCTACCCACACACGCAGGTAGCTCCCCAGAGACTGGCCTGCCCACTGCCACCAAGAGTTGCAGCTACAGGTGTCGCTATCCGTGGCCACCAAGGCGGCTGGCCTGCTTGCTCTTCCAGGTGCCCAGCGGGCCCTGCGTCTCTGCAGCATGCTCACTTGCATCCACTTGCCCCCCAGCCAGCCATTGAGAAGGGCTGCCAAGCCCGGTATAGAGCTGAGGGCTGGGGCTCAACGCCTGTCATCCTAGCCACTCAGGAGGCTGAGATCTGAGGATCCTGGTTCAAAGCCAGCCCTGGCAGGAAAATCCGTGAGACTCTTATCTCCAGTGAACCACCAGAAAACGAAGTGGCGTTGTGGCTCAAGGGGTCAAGCACTCACCTTGAGCTGAAGAGCTGAGGGACAGCACTCAGGCCCAGACCAAAAACAAAAAAAAAAGAGACCAGTACAATGGTTGGAATAAGGACCCCCAGGTGCTTGGTCCTTGGGAGGTAGTTGGAAGCCTAGGAAGAAGGCCCAGGGTCGTTAGGAGTGTGCCTTGGACGGGGATTGTGGGACCCTCACCCCTTCCTTGCTCACTCCGCTCACTTCCTTGCTTCCCGGCTCATGAGGTCAGCTGTCGAGAACCTCCGTAACTGTGAGTTGATACTCTTTTCTCTTTATCATTAACTCAGGCATTTCACTATGGTGACAGAAGCCTGCTAATACTAGTCAGTCGGGGGCTGGAGGAAAACGGCTGCGGGGACCTCAGTGGCCGCCTTCGGGACTGATTCTCCTGGGAGAATGGGGTTTCAGTGAGCAGAGCTACCAGGGCTGTGTCTTGCAGTGGTTTGGGCTGGCTTATGATCTGGATAACTTAGAGGGCAATCCATCTGGACCACCCATTCTATATTCATTTCCTCAATAGTATAGTAAGTAGGATTGGGGAGCTGGCTTGATACTATCAATCTTTTCAGTTCCCAAACAGCTGTCAAATCAGTAGAAAAACAGTACTGACCTCTCACGGCCTCTGAGGACCTGTGTATAATTATAAGCATCAATTAAGTGCTAAGCACCTTCACCTTGTCACTTCATCCTCCCCAGAGACCTGAGGAGGCCGTGCTGTGGCCATTCTCGCTTTGCACTGAACACACTGGAGACTCAAAATAGCAGGTCACTTGCCTGGGGCCAACAACTCAGTTGACAAAGCCAGGCCTAGCCAGGGCGGCACCTATATACCCTGACTGTTCCTCTACAGCGGTGCTGGTGCTGTGTGATTCTGACACCTGCAGTATGAAACCCTGCCTGAATCATCAGAAATCTCCAGTTGCAGTCAGTCCATAGGGGCTTTCCCTTTGAAGTCACAATAGACACGCTCCATTTAGACCAAGCTAAATAGATTAATGTTGTATGCCATTATCCAAGAAAAGTTAAACTTTATCACATAATAATATGCAGTCCTTGCCCACAATTTAATATTATTTCAATGTGCTATACTAATAGTCACAGTTAAGTCAGCCCCGGTAGCTCATGCCTATAATCTAACTACTCAGGAGGCTGAGATCTGAGCATTGAGGTTTGAAGCCAGCCCGGACAGGAAAGTCTGAGATTCTTATCTCCAATTAAAGAAAAAGCTAGAAGTGTGCACTGTGGCTCAAATGTTAGGGTGCTAGCTTTGAGCAAAAGGAGCTCAGGGATGGTGCCCAGGCCCAGAGTTCACATCTTGGGACAAGACCAAAAAAAAAAAATCACCCTAGTAATCAAAGTTCTTTTTTTCTATAATCACACATGTAAGGTTTACCTCAGCCACACATGGAAATGCAAAATTTATATGCTTTCAGGGGCTGGGAAGGTGGCTTAGTGGTAGAGCGCTTGCCTTTCATGCATGAGGCTCTGGGTTTGATTCCTCAGCACCACATAAGCAGAAAAAAAAGCTGGAAGTGGCGCTGTGGCTCAAGTGGTAGAGCGCTAGCCTTGAGCTGAAGAGCTGAGGGACAGTGCCCAGGCCCAGAGTTCAGACCCCACGACCGGACCCCCCAAAAAAAAAACATAAAAAAAATGTGTATGCTTTCAAACGTTTCCTTTTGAGGCAGGATCATGTTGCGTTGCTCAGGTTGATTTTGAACTCCTTAGCTCAAGTAATTCTGCCATAGCCTCATTGAGAAGCGGAGACTATAGTGTATATACCATAAACAGCTGGGTCTTTTTTTTTTTTTTTTTAATACAAACCCCAGGTATTACTCAGGGATCAGTATGTTAGGATGCCAGCACACTTTTCTTACTGACATAGGAAATAAACCTAATAAATTGAACAATGACTTGGTATTCTCAAGTCCTTAGGAATTTGCATTGAGTAGAAGTTAGGACAGGTGTTCTGGGATTTATTGCGAAGTCTTGATGTGGAAAGGAAGCCGTCACATGCTGGCTGGTCCAGTCCAAAGAGGAAGCGATCGCTTTGTTCAGAGCACATGTGTCTTGCAGATACACCCGAGGAAGACTGTTTACAGTGATGAAGCCAATCGGTG